AAAAAAAAAAAAAAATTTTATCTATCTTCAGTCTGACTTCTTTTAGGTCTGGTCTTATTTTTTTCTAGGCGGTGGGTTCATACAACTTTGATCGGTTTTTGAATAACGTTTTGGAAGTCAACATGTTGCCAATAAATAAAAGTTAGACAACTGGTAGTATATCGCAGTTGTTTTAAAAAAGATTATTTCTAAGATAGGTAAAACTGATAGAAAAATGTTTTTAAGCAAGCAGTTAACTCTAGAAAGCTAACCAAAAAGCAGTGTGGAAAAAAACCTAAAGCCTTGCTGCAATCTATTTTCAACCTTCAGCTTAGGCAGCAGCTGAATATTTAGGATTCAGACGCTAAATACATATTGGAGACAAAGCTGTTGTCCTAACAACTGAAAGACTATTTAGATATTACTTTGGCGTTATTTCAAAAAATGAAGAGAAGAAAGCAGAGCAAAATCAGGATGGTGAGGAAGTGTTATTTGCAGAAGACACAAACTGTCACTGGTTCTTTGGTTCATGTTCTGTAAGCAATTCTATTTTGGAACTATATATATGTATGAGCAAAGCTAATCTAAGCCTTATATCTTTTGTAAGTAAAACAAAGTTTTCTTTCTCATAAACTTCAATGGTTTTCAACACTAATTTTTTAAAAACATCTTTTGGGATAGACTGTGAGCAGAATTTTGGATTTTACTGTAAAATCCTCCCAGTATTCTCTACTACAAATGCTAAATTTTCAGACTGTGAAAAGTGGAAATAATCTCTTTGGGGAAGAGAGCCAAAAATCAGCCACCATGTTTGGAATAGCTCACCTTTGTTTTTTTGAACTGGTAATTTTGGAACTCCTGAACCACCACAAATAAGTTATCAACTGATCTCAGACAATGAACCTGGGAGAAAAAAAAACCACATTTCTGAGAAAGCTTTTGAACAGCACAAGCTATTAATAAGTAAGTATTTAAAAAACTAGGAATAATAGTTTTAATGCAGCTACTAACTACATTTTGTATTTTTTAAATGTCCCATTTCCCTAGTTTCTCATCTCTTTGCTTACCAATCAGCTTTCCCCTAGAGGAAGGGAAAAAGGGCAGATGGAAAGAGAGAAGCCTGAAGTGTTTTGTGGGCAACATGTCTTTTGGGGGAGAAGAGAAAGGTGAAGGCACTCAAGTAGGCTCTATCAATATTTCCCTGATGGCTTTTTATGGTACACTGTATGCTGCAATGGTTAAAGGCAGGGGATTTGAGCTCCAGCTAAGTGATCCCGGTCAAATTATTTATTTGTCCTAAGCCTAATGATTAATGAGGATAATAATAGTGTCTATCTTCACAAAGCTGCTGAGGGTATTGGCTAAAATATTGGATGGAAATTATTTCCTTACCAATTCATCCCACAGATATTTTCTGAGTACCTACTATATGCCAGACACTAAGAGCCTGGGATATATTGGTGGGAAAATAAAAATAGACAACAATCCCTGCCCTCTTGCTGCTTTTGTGTTAACCAGATATATCTTAGCTTTATCACAGCAAGATTGCAGTTTGGTGATCTTCGCTTTTTACCTTGAGTCGTAATTACTTCTGAGCAAGAATTTTCTATGCAGATTAAAAGGAAAATCTCTTTTACGTTTCATCACCAAAGTTTAAACATCTGCTAGATGCTGAAGTAAATAAATACTGTGCTACTCAGAGATTCCTAGGTTAAACAGAATTCTTTCTGGTGAATTCAATCCTCAGGAAATACTAGGATCACCTCTAAAAATGTAGCAATCCTACTGCTGGTTGAGCATCCCAAATCTAAAAATCTGAAACTTTTTAAACCCCAACACAATGCTCAAAGGAAATGCTCAATGCAGTATTTCAGATTTTCAGATTAGAAATGCTCAACTGGCAATACTCCAAAACTCCCCCACACCCCAAAAATCTGAAATCTGAAACATTTCTGGTCCTAAGCACTCCAGAAAAGGGATACTGAAACTACAGTCAAAATTACAAATCAGTATTCAATAGAAAATGCAGTAATACTTTAAAATCACCTGATTTGGGGCAGAGCAATGAAAATCAGAAAGGATTCCAAAGGGGTCTATAAAATGAAAAGTAATCATAAAATGATCAGCTTAGAAAACTTTTTAAAATATTGCTCCATTCAAACCTGTGCCAGACTTTCCAGTGAAATGACAAAATATATCTTGCCGCGGTCTCTGCTGATTTTGCATGGTGAACCAAGTTTCTCTCTCACTTCATCTGCAGCTGTTTGTTCAAATCCAGTAGGTACAGTGGCTCCAATAGTGACTAGAAGCTCAGATTCACTTGTGAGGTCACTTTCTGTCAGTCGTACAGACCTCTGGTTCTCATGAAGGTTCACATCTAGGAGTTGGTTAGTGGCTTCTTCAATGTCACACATGTTGGCTGTGCTTCCGAGGTTCCTAACACTGTCCCTTTAAAAGCAGTACTGTCCCTTTAAAAGAAAAAGAAATAAAGTCCAAATATTGTCATCTCATATTTCAGTTATAATAAAAAACATGGGCTCTGGAGGTCAAGAACAAGAAAACACAACTGATAGCCATAAAAGGTCAATACACCTGATATGCAATCACCAAAGTAAAAAGGGTTGAATAACATGGGTACAGAGTGCAGGTTGTAAAACATGACGTTATTATTAAACAAGGAATACAGATACCATGGGAGAAAAAGAGACAAAAAATATTTGCATAGCATGCAGTGTTTGCTTTGGGGTCACCCATGTTGACAAAAGCCATTTCACAACTACAATAGAGACTGCAGATCACATTCAAATACATTGCTGCATCTAGATGTTAAGAACATGGTTAGTTAAGAATATAGGGCTTGGCTGGGTTTGGCGGCTGTTGCCTGTAATCCTGACACTTTGAGGCAGCTGGATCGCCTGAGGTCAGGAGTTCAAGACCAGCCTGGACAACATGATGAAACCCCGTCTCTATGAAAAATACAAAAATTAGCCGGGCATGCTGGTGGGCGCCTGTAATCCCAGCTACTTGGGAGGCTGAGGGAGGAGAATTGCTTGAATCCAGGAGGCGGTGACTGTAGCTAGCCGAGATCGTCCCACTGCACTCCAGCCTGGGCGACAGAGCAAGACTCCAGCACAAAAAAAAAAAAAAAAAAGGCGGGGGGGGGGCTTTGGAGTTTCAGATAGATACAGGTTTGAATTCTTTCCTCCACCATATAGGTTGAATGACTTATGGCAAATTAATTCTCCCAAGCCTCCAAATGAGAATTAAGTAAACCTCTCTCCTAGAGTTGTCAGGAGACAAGTGAGAGTAGCACATGGCCAGGCCAACAATTAAAACTTACTAATAGGATATCTATCTTCTTCCCTCCTGTGAAGTAGACAGCATTTCATGCATCAAAAAATGATTAACTGGGCTGAGCACAGTAGTTCATGCCTGTAATCCCAGTACTTTGGGGAGCTGAGGCAAGTTGATCACTTCAGGCCAAGAATTGGAGACCAGTCTGGGCAACATGGCAAAATCTCATTTCTACCAAAAATACAAAAATTAGCTGGGCATGGTGGTGAGCACCTGTAGTTTCAGCTACTTGGGAGGCTGAGGTGGGAGGACTGCTTGTGCCCAGAGGTCAAGGCTGCAGTGAACATTATCTTTACACTCCAGCCTGAGCAACACAGTGAGACCTGGTCTAAAAAAATAATAATAATTAAAAATAAAAATGATTAACTGAACACTTACTATCTAATGATTACAAATATTCAAATGCCTACTATGTCTACTTGCCAGGCTCTGGGATCCACAGATGGGCATCAGGAAAGAGGTCTTGGAAGTAATCTGAAATAGTAAAACAAATTTCCTATACATAAGCATTTGTGTTTGGGGCGGGGGCCAGGGGAAGTATTACAGAGGTGGAGGATCGGTAGCTCACGCCAGATTTTCAAAGGATCTGTGACTCCAAATAACTTAAGTGGATAGAGAATATCTATACTGTCCTTGTGCTGTGCCAACGATACACGATAGTGTTTAGCACTAAGTCAGTTCCCGCCGTTAAGAAGCTCACAGTCACTGTGAATACAATCTCCATCTTCTAAAAAAGGCAGCTGAGGTCAGGTAAAGGACGCGTTCCGCTCAAGGTCAGACAGCCAATGAGAGGCGCAGAATGGAAGAGAACTCACGTCTCCCGACTCACACCCACTGAGCCCCAGGAATCCTAGCGAGCGGGTCAAGGCCTGGGAGGGGCAGCAAGATGGGCTCCACCACGACACTGGGCTGAAGTACCGCCCGGCTCCGGCTCCGGCCCCGGCTGCAAGAGGAAGGCTGCCCTTCTCTCCCCAAGCTGAAACACTAGAGGAGCCACACTCGGCTATTCCCAACCGCCGCCAGTTACCGGCCGTCTGCGAAGACTCTTTCAGCTCCCGCACTCCATTGGCCTCCCGCGCTCAGGTCACGCTGCCGGAAGCTGCTGCCGGAAGCGGAAGTCAGGCTACGTGTCGCCGTGGCTCCGCGCTAGGGGGCGGGCGCTCGTACAAGGTCGTGAGGAAAGGAGCATGCGTCTGAAGCTCTGTGCTCTTGGCCTTCAGGATCCTCTGCAAAATGAACGCGGAGAGTTAAGGGCCTTGTGCCCTATCATGGTATTTGCTAACGTTTAGAGAGTGCTGCCCGTTGCCAAGCACTGGGTAAGCGCTTCACTTGCATCATCTCGTTTGGAACAAGTCTGTTTTGTTCCAGCACCTATGAACTGGCAGAGGCTGATTTCTGTTTTAAAGCTGGAGAAACTGAGTCTCTCCAGCTCAGTTAAATAGCTTTACCAAAATGTCATGCCACTAGTTCCTGATTTCTGTATTGCCATCACTATTTTAGCACTGTTTACTTAATATTTTTCTTTAGTTTAAAAAATTTTTTAAAAATATTAATGGGGGACTCACTATGTTGCCTAAGGTGGCCTTAAACTCCTGGGCTCAGGTGATCCTCCTGTCTAGGTCTCCCAAAGTGATGGGATTACAGGCATGAGCCACCCTGCCCAATCAGACGAACTTTGTTTCTCATAAAGCGTTGAATCTGCCTGGACCCAGTGGCTCACACCTGTAATACTAGCACTTTGGGAGGCAGAGGTGGGTGGATCACTTGAAGTCAGGAGTTTGAAACCAGCCTGGCCAACATGGTGAAACCCCATCTCTACTAAAAATACAAAACTTAGCAGAATGTGGTGACCCACGCCTATAGTCCCAGCTACTTGGGAAGATGAGGCAGGAGAATTGCTTGAACCCTGATGGCAGAGATTGCAGGGAGCCAAGATCGTGCCACTGCACTCTAGTCTGGGAGCGAGATACCGCCTCAAAAAAAAAAAAGGGAGGGGGGGGTATGGTAGCCATATTGACAAACTGGGAAGCCTAGCCTTCAGTCAGAAGCCAAACACAGGCAGTTCCAGGGTCAGAAGAATAAGACAAGGATTTATGCCAAGAACGGTAGCCAAATGTACATATTAAATAAACTGTAGGAGGGGTCATGAATATTTATGAAAGGAGCAACCTGTGCATGTGCATTTGAGCTTCATGCCTCTCCATGGATCCCATGTTTAAAAAATGGTGGCCATAGCATGATCCAGGGGTGGAGTTTTTGCTCTCAGACTTCAAAAGGTGAATCAAGTGATGTGAAAACCCTCACTGCACTATGTAGACTGGCCAGAACCACTCCCTGGATGGTGGGTGGTCTCTTATCAGGAAGGAATGCTGGTCAGTTGTTCTGTTGAAACTGCAAATGGGAGGGTCAGCATCAGGCTGGTGGAGTGAATCTTCCAAAAGGGCTGGTTTCTGTTTAACCCTTAGAAAACAAAAACTAATGGTGATTATAGAGGGAGGGGTTATAAAGTGGTGTGTCCAACCTACCATCCTGTCATGACCAGGAGCTCAGCTTCCAAGGTTTTTCTGGGGTCTTCTTGGCCAAAAGAGGGCCTGTTCAATCAGTTTGGGGTGTAGAGTTATATTTTTATTTCTCAACAGAAGTTAACTTACTGTAAAAGGAAACTTACAACTCAACAACAAAAAGATAAACTGAATTTAAAACAAAACAAAACCAAAAAGAACACAATTTATAAATGTGCAAAGGGGCTAGGAGTGGTGGCTCATGCCCATAGTCCCAGCACTTTGAAAGGCTAAGGTGAGTGGATCACTTGAGCTCAGGAGTTTGAGACCAGTCCTGGCACCATGGCAAAACCCTGTCACTATAAAAAGATAAAAATTAGCTAGGCACGGTGTCACTCTCCTGTAGTCCCATCCACTTGGGAGGCTGAGACAGGAGAATAGCTTGAGCCAGGGAAGTTGAGGCTATAGTGAGTTAAGATCACACCACCACACTCCAGCCTGTGTGACAGAGTGAGACCTTGTCTCAAAAATAAAATAAAAAATACGTAAAGCGCTCAAATAGATATAACATGAAAAGATGCTGAATATCAGTAGTCATTAGGGAATTGCAAATTAATCGCAATGGGATACTCATCAAAGTGGCTAAAAGTAAAAAACAGAAAATCAACAGTTCCAGGTTCTAATGAGCATATGGGGTAATTGAACACTTATATGTTCTGATGAGAATGCAGATTGATATATCCCCTGATATGGTTTGGCTCTGTGTCCCCATCCAAATCTCATCTTGAGTTATACTCCCATAATTTCCACATGTTGTGGGAGGGACCCGGTAGGAGATAATTGAATTATGGGGGTGGTTCCCCCGCATGCTGTTCTTGTGGTAGTGAGTAAGTCTCACAAGATCTGATGATTTGATAAGGGGTTTCCACTTTCATTTCTCTCTCATTCTCTCTAGCTATCACCGTGTAAGAAGTGCTTTTTGCCTTCTGCCATGATTGTGAGGCCTCCCTAGCCACATGGAACTGTAAGTCCATTAAACCTCTTTCTTTTGCAAATTGCCCAGTCTTGGGTATGTCTTTATCAGCAGTGTGAATATGGACTAATATACCTCCATTGGAAAACAATTTAGCCGTTCCTCAAAAAATTAAAAGTAGAACATATTACTCAGCAATTCTACTACAGATGGTTTTTGACTTAGGATACTTTGACTTAGAATTTTTTGACTTTACAATGGGCTTATTTGTTATAATGCATTTTCAACTTACAGTATTTTCTCTGTACAGTGGGTTTATTGGGATGTAATCCCACTGTAAGTCAAGGAACATCTGTACTAGCTTTATACGCAAGAAGACAGAAAACAGGTGTTCAAACAAAAACTTGTATACAAACTGGGCTTGCTGGCTCATGCCTGTAATTCCAGCAATTTGGGAGGCAGAGACAGGAAGATTGCTTGAGCCCAAGAGTTCGAGACCAGCCTGGGCAACATAGGGAGACCTGTCTCTACAAAAAATTTAGAAAGTAGCTGGGTGTGGTGGCAATCACCTGTGGTCCCAGCTACTCAAGAGGCTGACATGGGAGGATTGCTTGGGCCTAGAAGTTCGAGTCTGCCATGAACTCTGATTGCACTACTGTACTCCAGTCTGGGCAACAGAGAGAGCTCCCATCTCTAAACAACAAGAAGAACAACAACTTGTGTACAAACGTGCCTAGCAGCCTTATTCATTTAGCCAAATGGTAGAAACAACCCAAATGTTCATCAGCTAGTGAAAAGATAAGCAAGTATGTTATACCTATACAGTGGAATATTATTTGGTCATAAAAAGGAATGGAGGACTGTGATATTATGATACATTGGTTTTCATCCACAGTGTCCTGGCTCATAACTTTCCTATCCCATTTTACAGTAAATGGAATTTCTTTCTCTGACCTTATCTTTTCCTCCTTTTACCTGCCTGCTTGGCAAGACTCTAATCCGATTGTGGTCATAAGGCACCCATTTCAGAGAGGGTCCTACCCCATACCTGAGAGGAAGGAATGTTTCACGGAGAGGTCAGGAGTCGTCTGAATAGATAGACCTTGCTGAGTTTAGAGCATACTTTTTTTGTCCAATCACTTTTTGATGTGGTTGCCCATGCTTCAATCATGGACAACCAGTGAAGTCTTCATAAAAGGCCAGAAGGAGCACAGGGAGTTTCATCCTGAAATACAGCTCCCAGGTATTATGAGGATTTTGAATTAAAAACCCTCAGCGATTAAGTTGGAAGAGACTTTTCCCCTACCTACATAAAGATAGGATGGACCCTCCAAGGAGAACAGTTGCTCCCCTCCTTGTCTTATTATCCATTATCCATTATAGGAAAGAAGACCAAGAATGCACTTGAACAGACCCTTTTATAAGATCATGACTGTCCCTGAGGATTATTTAAGTTCCAGAAAGAACTATTAACAAATTAATTTCTGTTCCCCATCTAATCATTCTCCCTAGTAACCATTTATTGCCCCTAAATAGAATGTATCTCCTCCTACCATAATCTGTTTTGCCAGGGTCCAAGTCCGTATTCTTTCTGTAACCTCAAGATGGTATATAAACTTCTGGACCCCACTGGGAGGTTGGGCAATCACTCTGTGATTCTCCCTGTGTACATGGTTTAATAAATTTATATACCACTTCTTTTATTAATCTGCCTTATTGTGGGTAGATTTTTCAGTGACCCTTCAGAGGGGCAAAGGCCAAAGGCCCTCTGATAGGTGTCCTTTCCCCTATCCCTTGCCCTATGCATCTCCACATCTGTGTCCTTTGTAATATGCTTTGTAATAAACCAGAAAATATAAATGTTACACTGGGTTCTGTGAGCCTCTCCAGCAAATCAGCTGAACCCAAAGAGGGGGTCATGGAAACCCCAACTTAAAGTCGGTTGGTCAGAAGTTCTGGAGACCCAAACTTGCACCTGGTGTCTGAGGTGGGGACAGTCTTGGAGACTGAATCCTCAACCTGTAGAATCTGACACTATGTCTAGGTAGATAGTGTTGAAATTGAATTGGAGGACACACAGCTGGTACAGAATCGATTGCTTGCTGGCTGGCTGATGAGGAGAAATCCCCACATATTTTGCAATCCCAGAAGTCTTCTGTGTTGATTGTTTTTGTGTTGGTGTGAGAGCAGAGGAGAAGCATGGTTTGAGAGTTTTTCTGAAGTGCAGATATATTCTACAATGTGGATGGACTTTTGAAACATTATGCTGAGATACCAGACACAAAAGACCATATGTCATGCATGCATACAGGATTTCATTTATTTGAAATATTCAGAATAGGTAAATATATAGAGACAGAAGGCAGGTTAATGGATGCCTATGGCTGGGAGAAATAGGGGGATTGGCAGGTGACAGCTAAAGGGGATAGAGTTTCTTATGGAAGTGATGAGAATGTTCTGGAATTAGGTAGTAAAGATGGTCACACATTATTATGAATATACAAGAAACACTTGGCCGGGCGCAGTGGCTCACGCCTGTAATCCTAGCACTTTGGGAGGCCGAGGTAGGTGGATCACCTGAGGTCAGGAGTTCAAGACCAGCCTGGCCATCATGGTGAAACCCCATCTT